CTTATCTAGATGCAGTATCTGACGTGAACCGATTCGTTGCCGTTTCACAGCCAGGAATTCCTTACTTGATCTTCGTCCTTTTTCTTCCTCTTGACTTTGTTCTTCTCCTCTCTCTCGCTCCTCCTCTTACTTCCTATCCCAGAACACGACGCTCCACGCATACGATGCCATAGGATATCAGGCTCGTCCCCGGCGCCCCGTGCCACGCTGCCACGATGCACTCGCTGATGCACTACCTGACAGAGTACCCGTACTGCAGTCTGTCGTCCGTATCAGATACAGCGCCCGTTACAGAACTACATTGTAGCTGCATCGTGTCACGTGTAAAAGGATTTATCGTGGATACGTACTACCAACATGAATACGTAAAATACATTGTATTAAATCGTCACGTCAGGCACTGTACGCTGCTCGTGACGCGTTCCACGGATTCTGCGGGATATATTGGCAATGCAAAGGTGCACCGATGCACATTCGAAAGGTCTAGGCTGCATCTGTATCTTGAAGATACTCCGGATATTATTTGATGGTACATTTTTTTTTTTTTTTTTTGAAAAATTATTATGGACCGGATGCCATCCTTTTTTTTATATGGTCACGTCGAAAGGTCATTATTTTTTTTTTTCTCCACAGTTTCCAATTATCGGTCTGTCCTTCTCACTCTTTCATCCCTTTACGCATTTATGCACCCGCTCTCGCGCATGTCCGCTCATCTGCTGCATGTCCCCCATAGCTGCGCACGTCGCGTTTAACATACCCGTAATGTTACTCCGGAGAATGCATCTGACAGCCCTATCGGATACGCGTAATCGTACTGCAGTTACATGCGTGCGCGCTCGTTCATTTATATTCCTTTATTTATTTATGTGTATATATATACATATGGTACCTGGTATATATGCACTTCACGGTATTACACTTCATTTCTGGTATTTGCTTTCGATATTCACGTGATCAGTGACGGCAATCGGCGACTTGTTAAATGGACTATTTGTATGTGGATTACGGAAGCGTAATTCGAATTGTCCTGCAGTGGGGGTGTGAAAAGAGTGGGCGTCGAACCGCGGAGATTAGCTAAGCGGTAACAACTTGACGTTTCCTAGGGGAGACGTGTCGCCGCAGCGACACACGTTTCCTCGTGATTCAGTGTGATGGTCCAGCTCGAAAGATGAGCGCGATAGGACACGTGATATCTTTGTTTTGATTGTCATTGATTTATACCGTGATTCATGACTCGAGGCGAATCTTTGGGATGGAAATTCGAGAACGGATGAAAAAAAAAAATTCTTTCCCCATTTTTTTTTTTTTTTTTTTTTTTTCCATTAACCTCGTTCCCTGTGCTATCTTTTAGCTTGTTTCGGATTTCGGTACCTGCTTCCGTCGACGCGCTAACGAGACACATTAATTATTTTCGCAACGATTACGAGCTTTTCTAAGGCTTTTGGTTTTGACTGCACTCTCCCCTTTTCGGAGCTGTCCTCGGATACGTTACTGGTCGAGGCGTATGCATTTTATATGCCGGCGTCTCGCTTGGCCGCGGTTAGTATTTTTTTTCCGTCCCAGACCACGGCAGGGTATTCTCCGGCGAAAGCGAATAAACGGGATATGTTTTTTTTGTCTCGCATCTCGATATCCCTGTTTCCCTGCTCTGTTCGAAGGCTGCTCGTACCGTACCTGGTACGAATTATTGATATTTAATGTGAAAATGGCAGGCTTTGTTTACTTATGAAAATGTTTTGTTTTTTAAATAAATTAATCGTAAACACGCGTAATTATGCGTAAAGTCAATATGTTACTTGGCGCACTTTTTTTTTTGTTACGCGAAAGCGAGTACTCGGAAAAAATATTTTTGAAAGAAAAATATTTTTTTCAAAACTTCAGCTACTCGTCCCCTTTGTTCGCTCAAACGCTGCTTAACTAAACGCAGTCGCGCAAGCCTGGCCACTTGAGTAACCTAATTAAGCGTACCTAATTGAGTAACCTAATTTAGGGAGTTACTCCGACCTGGTCTGAAATATCACGAGGAACCGTTTCCGTTTCCAGAGCAAAACTCCTAGATCAACTGAACTCTGGGATACTCGATGAATCAGGAGGACTCCGCATGTCCCGTTACGCTCGTGCATCGTCGCATCCTCCTATTCGCTCGAGGACCCAGCAACGTGACAAGGGCCTACGGAATATTTCTTTCTCGTTAATCGGCAGAACCGTGGAAACCACTGGATGCAAGTAGACTATTAACGAGAACGATACACGCTAGGTTCACGGAGCCCGTGAAAAGCAGAGCCCATTACGTGAACCGGGAAAGAGAAAAAGGGGACCAATCTGTATGCGAAGGCTGCCTCGAGCCGTTATGGCAGGCCGAGTACTTTATTCGAAACTCCACTCCCTTTTTATTCGTCTCTCTTTCGTTTTCCCACCTGCAAGAAATTTCTTTATATCGCCTCGCTCCCCGAGCAAAGGGACCTATTGTCTTTGGAATTGCGTCTGGAAATGCCTGTAGCAGGTCTCGTGGCTTGTACAGGAGGAAGGCCGATTCGGTACCAGCAGCTTAAGCCCCCTTTGCCATTATGATTTACACTCAGACCCGTTCTGCCCTTGCGAACCCTATATAGTTATATATATATATATATATATATGAACTATCGAACGCCTTATGGGTATATATACGCGCCTAGGTCTATACGTCATTTTTAACATAATACAAAATCTAATCGGCCAACTTCAGGCTGCTTTTACTTTAACAAGGAAAAATTCTCTCGATCTTAGTCTAGATCGTTTTTCTCTCTCTTACTCGTGCCCGGTCTCTTCCTCTCTCGCTTACTCAAACCTTAATTAATTTTACACACTAATTTCCCGATCCAATTTACACGCCATTCACCTGACCGCACAATCCACGGTGCTCCGATCGTGCGTGGAAGCATAAATAATGCACAGTGACCTTTTCCACGTTGTTAAGAACGCCAATCTGTTTTTATATATACATACATGGCTTAAACGTATAGAACCATTAGAACTTTGTCGTTTGCATTATTACGGGTGGCATAAGAATTTGAGGTGGGAAAACATTCATGCGGTTCTAGTTGATTAGAGAGACCGTCTAATTCGTGGGAAAACACGTGGTCAAGTGTTGCGTGAATTTTTGTGCAAGGCTGCCGTATATGAAAAATATATTTACGTCCGTTGGGTTTGTGTTTTTGAATAACATCCTGACATCGTTCAATGACGTTTTCGTATATTTTTGCAAGGGACTATCCTCATGCCCGACGATCATCGCCAGTCCTGTATTCATAAGGCTGGCGGCAATCTGTTTAGTCGCGGATACGATCGCGATGACACGAACGGGTGTTTACTCGAAACACAAAAAATTTCCGGGCACGATAATATCGGCAAGTGGTTAAAGAGAGGATTGGTCGCGGGTTCGACGTGATACGTAATAAAGGGTAAAGGTCGGCAACGTCGCGTGATACTCGAGATAATAAAAGTGTCATAATATTATTTTTTTTTTTTTTTTTTTTTTTTTTTTTTTTTTTTTTTTTTTTTTTTTTTTTTTTTTTTTTTTTTTTTTACTTCATTGGTAGACCCTGCCTTGATGGATTGCCGAGCAAAGTGATGTATTAGGTGACGCTATCCGGTGGTTACCTTAATTTATTAGGCTGCCGTTCACGTGGTTGAGAATTGGTCATTAATTTTGCATAATTAAGCCACGGTACCTGCCACCTTCTCACCGTTGAATTTTAATTACGATCGAGAAAATCCACCCGTTTCCTATATTTTAATATTACAATCGTCGATTATCGCTTTCCGATACGCTATCGATTATTCGCTGCCAATTGGTTTATCGCTTGACACTCACGAAATTCCCTAGTTTAATTTTTACTCAGTAAGTCCCCAGGGCCTGTCTAGGTATCCGCTGGATCAGTCCGGCTAGGACGTCGATGCACCCCACTATTTTCGGTATGACTAGGGATTTTATGTAGACAATTTTTTTAGACCTATTTTTTTTTTATTTAAAAAAAATTTGTCACACACGAAATTTTCCCTTTAAATGGTGTTCAAGACTTTTTTTTTTTTTTTTTTTTCCGGTGGGTCCCGGGTCCCTTTTCTCTTACGTGGCTTCCTCTCCATTTAGCCCGTGCTATTCGGGAATCCAGAGCAGGAAGAGGATTATCCTGGTCTAAAGGGGGTATAGCTGGAAAGAACGATCTCCGCGGCCTTTATAATGTATTCCACTTGGGGGATGGAATTCGCACGAGAATCCGGCAACTGCCGAAATTACTAGTACGTCGTGCATTTGGAATTTCGAGGCGCGTCCTCGTAAAATCGAGGATTCGCGAGCGTTCGGGACGCGCCCTTATGCCATGGGAAAATAATCATCCTGCACGTCTTCCCGTGGTGCGGCTGGTGAACAAATATTTTTTTTCGTATCAGCAAGGGAGATGCGAGCGAACGCATTAGGGCCGACACGCAGATCGTGCAATCGTAATTGCAATTACTTGAAGACGTATGAACGACAATTCACAATAGATACTCTTATGGTACAACGTACCTCCTGCACTTGGGTCTACGTTTTCCGTAATGACTTTTACAAGGGTTCGCGTATATTTCGTTCACCCGTTACATATTACGTGATTAGAGCTGACAGAGCCATCATCGTTATGTCGTAAGGAGCACATGGAGTATTCCACGTGAATAAGGAACTCATTGAAATAAATTATAAATGGAAATCATGGAAGCGTTCAAGCAGTATCTCATTGTAGGAATGAAAGATATAGGGAATATTTTTTTTTTCAAAAAAAAAAAAATAATAAAAATCTTTACAGATATAGCGACTAGCAATTTCGTAGTATAGGTATGTGTGACGTCACTTAGGGTATTTTTGAAAATTCAAGGAATCATATATTGATCTGACGACTGTTTACCTCTTACGGTTAATTTTCGTGAAATTTTGTTCTTTGTAATTTTCAAAAATTTATTTTAAGAAAATTTATTTTCCCTTTCAGAATTCACATCGGGACATTCCTCAGTCTCCGTGGAGGGTCGATAAGGAACTACGTGGAAGGTACGTTGCTTTCACTGATAATATTGAAATTGCCAAGGCAGAGTAACGCGGAAGCGAAATCGTGTGGGTAGAACGAACAAAAAAAAGAAGAAAAAAAAATGTTAATGAGAATGAGCCTGTTTAACAAACTCTAACGAAGTTTCGCTTATGACGTTCTTTTTCCCTGAGCAAACGTGTTTGCCCACGACTTATTCTCGCCTCTCGCATCCGTCTTTGGCAAACAGAGTGACGCTTCCCTCTTTTCTGCACCCTCGCGCGTTCCTCTCTTGGCTTCATTAATGCACCGGAAGATGCTGCGCTGGCTTCACTTTCGAATTCATCCTCGTACTCGGCCAGAGTCTCGAGTGCCTCGTCGAAGTCTAATGGTCATTTAAATCTTCATACATACATACCGATCCATAAAAATCGGTAAAGTCGAGTTCGAGTCAACTGACAAAAATTTACCTACTGATATAAATCCGTAATCGCCCTGGAATTTACGCGAAAATCCAAATTAATGAATTAAAGTAACGGACAAAAGTTAATGTACAAAAAAATTGTCACCCACATTTTTGGCCCAGTAAAATCGCCCGTATAGCACTGTATATATGTATTGCGCAACGGGATTAACTTTCGTTTCGCATCGACGATCACGACTTCGCCGGACGTCCCTATACCACATTTGACGTTACTCCTCCCGTCTTGCATCGTTTCTGCCGTTCCCAAGTGTGTATATGAAAAAAAATAACATCTGTTCTTCCCGTGCATGAGATCCGGTACTTTACGCGCCATGTAACATATAGGGTATTCGTATGTCTGTACTGTGGACACTACGCACAGTATATCTATAGCGCGTCTCTAGTGGGCTGGGTCCTGTTTCTCTTTGACGTTCACCATACTCGGTTGTATTCCGAGCGATGTTTGGATTTTCACGTCGACGCTAGATGGCACCTAGCACAGTGAGCCGGTAATACCGACGCGACCCTCGTTCAAGGAAATTGGAAGTAAATTGCGGATAATGATATTTGATATTTCATAGTCTGGAACACGTGGGCCTTTGGTATTTATAGATTTCATTATAGGCCCGCATTAAAAGTGTTCTCGTATTAGATAATTTGTGTACCGTGAATATAGGAGCACATTGTTCGCTAGTGATATTCTAGGGGAATTGTGGGTAGTAGCATAGAATAGTGAAATTACAGGGTACATGCCATAGATACAATTGAAAATAATTCAGTATTGTGTAATATAGCCGAAACGTGTATATATAAGTACGGAATTTCGTATTAGATAAACATAAACCAATTTGGTTCGTGCTACACTGTTGGTTCTCCGGAATAGGATTAGAGGTCACGTGCGCGTCACGGATGACGTAATACGGTAGTTTTCGGGGACCTTGACGTTCCATTCCCCTAAAACGTTATGGACTCGGACCCAGGTACTGCACTTGAAATAATTTCGTATCAAGACGATACGCCGAGATCATCGGTAGAGTGACGTAGCAGGTAGAATTTTTGAACCGTCTTAAGTTACACGGGGTCTCAATTGACCTTCGGGATAATGACGTCGGAGTCATCAAAAAGGAAGGTCAGCAGGTCTCTGGGCCTAATGTTGGTATCGCGTGCCAGAAAGTAGTCTGATTCGTAATACGCTTGCCTGTCAGGTATCAATTTCGTGCACCACCGTCTATAAGAGGGAGCTTACATTCGGGAGATAACTGTGTACTCTTGGATTAAGAAAAAGCTTCGAGTAGAGGTTAAATTTTTTTTTTTATGAAAAACAATTTTTTTCCCCCACTCAAATCGTAATTGACTTTTAGGCAGGAAGCTGGAAAATTGATGAAAGAAAAATATCGTGAAATTAGGTGGTGCACGAAACGTCAAGTTTTGCGAAAGTGATCGATACAGATATATATAGCAAAGCACGTTCAATGCCAGCTGGTAAGCTCGTATTGTGCTTCGTGTTCTTTACTTCCGGTTATTTCTCTTGTTTCCGGTGTCTCTCCCTTTCATCCAGCATCCCTTCAGGACGGTCGGCAGGCGTTCTAGATTTAATAACTAACGGGTTCTGCATTGTTGGTAAATGGGTCGAGTGCTTGGCACCTACCTGGATAGACGTAAATGTATCCGAGTCTGGCCACGGGTACTTTCCAGGTATGTAGAAGTACTTGTACGATAGATTACACAATGGCGGTATGCCCGTAGTTGAAAGCTCCCGTGACACAGGGCCGAGAATATGAATGGTTTATATATACGGAAGGTATACAGCCAGTTTCTCTATATACTGCCTCTAGCTCAGGTCTGTCCCACCTTAACTACTTGCAATACGCTCTGTCTCCTTTTATCTCGGTGTATCTCCTCGCTTACTGCGATCGAGTGTATATACCCCTATCTTCATCTCTCTCACTCTCTATGAGTACGTGCCTATGCAGAGCTGCCCGTATCAAAGTCTAAATGGACAAGTTGAAATGTGCAGCGAATTGTAAAGGTTGACATGTATATACGAGCACGAGTCGACTAGCGTCATTGCGATAACGAAGAAAAAGCCTCAAGCCAGATTTTCATAGCCAAATAATATTTCGCAATCAGTCGCAATTAATAATTTTTGTTTTTGTCACGCGTTTAAAAAATTGCACAAAACTCGTATTGCGTCTAGCAGATAAAAATAAGATTTTGAGAAAATTTTAAATTTTCAAAATTTTTTTGAAAATTTCAAAAATCATCCGACGTCCTTTTTCAATATCTATATAATTCCTCACCGAATTCCCACCGTTTTCCCACGTAACCATTTCCCGACGCTCTTTACGTAATTTCAGTCTGGAAAACCATACTTCCCATATCGGACGTTATCTCGCGCACTTCCGTTTTATCTCGTTGCTCCGGTATCCGCTCTACGGAGATGCAACCGCTAATGAAACACGTTGCGGTATTCTCTATCCTGTGTACGTACAGTCTGCTCGGCTTAGGTTGGTTCAGCTTACGCCAGCCAACCCTTAACCGGAGGCTTCCCTATAACTCAGCTCTTATACGTGTCAGCTTCTGCTACGTATTTGCTCGGCAGCTTCGCTCACTTGCCCAGCTGCTAAGTTGCCGACCGGTTGTCCGGTATTGCAAATATCGGCCTGTCATCTGGCGCGTAAGACCCCGGTCCCCACCCAGTAACACGCGTCAGCGCTACCACCTACGACCTTGCCAAGGCTAGTCCCCATGGAACTGCAGCCTGGCTGCTTAAATGTCACGTGTAGCTACGGTGCGCAACGCGAGGCTAGAAAGTGAAGCGTGGATAACATTGCGGGTGGTACCTTAATCGATCGGTATATCGAAGGCACAGTGTGATATAGAAAAATATATTTTTAAAGTCACTAACTTTTTTTTCAATATCAATCACTCCATCAGATATTCCAATCGGACAAGTCAGAGCTTGGCTGACTTCGTGTTATTCCTTTGAAATATTCACGTGGAAATTCATACGGCGCCGCGACCCACGGTAAATAGTCCGCACGTGGGCAGCGGGACACTCGTGTTTCGCAACCGATATGATTTAGCCTCGCCCACGCGAACGTCTCGAAACTATTTTAACGGGGATCGTAAATTCAACGTGGCGCACGGAAATCTGCCTTACGTCTTCCGAAAGGCGAGCAATCCAGGCTGCACGACTGTTTTGGTAGCTAAAGTACCGGCGGCTACAGCAGTGCTACAAGATACTGGTATAGCAGGTGCCTATCGATAAGAGCAACCACGTGGCACGCGCGCAACAGCAGTCTTCGGCATTTTGAAATCATCTTTGATAAGACGCAATATCAGTCAGGGTACTTGGGGGGGTCTAGAAACTCTATGGGGAAAATTCCACAGTGGAAATAGTACCCGGAACGAAATTGCTCTCTCTCTCTATCTCTGATCGACGTCGCCCATGCAAACAGAGCAGACGGGAAAAGGAAGAACCAAATGAAAATGTAGAAGCTGGATAAAATAAAAGGAAAGTGTACAAAACGAACGCGAAGATCGATAGATCCGTTCAGAAGCGTCTGCAGTCCTATTGGTATTAATGGTAGCTTCCGTAAGGGATGCTGCGCTGCACGGGCTAGATTTACGAGAATGTAAAGGCGAATTTCTCGTTGCACGTGGATCCGCCGCTTCCTTTCCTACGTTCGAGAGCCACGGACTGTCTAGTCGGGGCCGGATGGTTGTTCACTGTAGGAACGTCCTTTAACGTTCTGATAGGAAATACGTGCGTCAGTCGCGGTGGTACGTCCCTTTAGGTAATCTGATTAGACTTAGTCCTTGCGGAGCAAAGGCTTCCCTAAGTGGCCGAAATACGTCGGGTGACAGACCTTAAGCGTGAATGGCTGGCGAAGTGAATAAACTCGTGCATATATCTCACGAACGTATGAACGACGCCTTATGCATTATCGAACCGGTTAACGACCAATCAGGACACTTTGAAACTGTTCTATTGGAAATTCACGGAATTTTCATCCAGTGAATTCTGAGCCGAGAGGATCTCGAGTTAAATTTGCTTGGAGCATTTATTGGTAGACCTATTGTTAAAACCTATAAGGAGCTGCAGAGTACATTAAAATGTATAAGTCTCATTTTGAAAAATGTCACTTTTTTTTTGGCGACTAACCACGACTAATTTTTTTGTTATTATTCAGGAATTATGGAACTCTGCCGTATACGAAAAGAACTATATGTATTTTTTTTTTTGAAATGCCACCACGTGAAATGCTAACTTCGCAGTCGTAATTTTTTTTTCGTGAAATAAGTAAAAAGTGGAAAGTGGGGGATGGCATGTCCGAGAATTCGAAAGATTATTAAAGAATATATTTTTGAATATATATTGTTAAAGAAGAATTCTGTAGTGCGTCTCTGCTGTATATATATATGTATATATATATATATATATATGCACCTGAAACGTCAAAATTTCGTACGATCACTATGTGTGTATAGTACGTGTCGACTTGGTAGTGAAAAATATAATTTGCCGTATCTGGTATCTTCGAAGATACCAGAACGAGG